CCACCTCCACACCACCCCCACCAGCATCTCTACTACCACCTCCACCACTAGAACCACGATCTCCTCCACCTCCACCACCAGCAGCATCTCTACTACCACCTCCACCACTAGAACCACCATCTCCTCCTCCACCACCACCACCTCCACACCACCCCCACCAGAATCTCCATTACCACCTCCACCACTAGAACCACCATCTTCACCACTAACCCCTCCATCAGAACCACCATTTCCACCTCCACCATCAGAACCAACATCTCCACACCACCCCCACCAGCATCTCCACTAGTCTCCCTGAACCATCTCTACCACCACCACCCCCAAACACCTAGACCATTTCTATCTCTATATCTCCCCCATCAGCATCATCATCACCACCACCATCTCCCAACTACCTCCACCATCTCCACCTCCATCACCAGAACCCCCATCCCTACCACTCCACATCCAGCTCCACCACCTATACCCCCACCCCCACCGTCACCTTTACTTCCCAACCCCCTCATTGGCTTCTACCTACTTAAAGCACTTTGTGGAGCTCACTTTACCCTCCAACAGAGGAGCATTGGGTAAGAGGCACGTGGCCTGTTCTGCTGGCTTTCACAGATTACAGTCATTTTGTGAAGGGCTGTGCCGAAGGAAGCCATGTGTGGTAAATGGCAGAGACCCAAATCTGGTGCATGCTCATCTGAAACACTGCCTCTGGGGTCACGCTTCCATTGCATTACTTGGGCAATTCAATGTGAGGGAAATTGAAAGCCACTGGCTGGTATTCTGTATGACAGAGAAGCTGGACGGGGTTCTTGACAGACGTCTGCTCCCCAGTTCATGCCCCAGCCATGCTGTCTCCCTGTCTCGTCTCTTAGTCTCTTCCTGTTTCTTTTATTTTCGTTCTGGGGATTAAACCCATGGGTGTGAGCTACATCCCCAGCTCTTTTTATTTTTTTACTTTGAGACAGGGTCTTGCTCAGTTGCTGAGACTGGCCTCAAACTTGCCATCCTCCTGCATCAGTCTCCAGAGTTGCTGATGTCAGGTGTGTGCCACTGTGCCCAGCTGTTTTTTTTGTCTCAGTGTGTAACTTCTTTGGATTTTCTCTGAAGTACCACACACGCAGAAAGAGAATGAGCGGGGTAACGTGGCTGGGCTGGGTCCCCCCTGGGTTCCAGGAGAAAGGTGCAGGACAGTCAGCTTGGACACATAGTGATCCCAAGTGTTTTAGCTGAGAAGGGTCTCGGAGAACCAAGTGAGCGAGCATCCTGTCCTTGCTCTTTATTAGAAGCTACATGTCGATTACTCATGAACAAAACATCATCTATCTAATTTACATTTGATGAGACAGTAAACAAGATGGGTCTTACCTGTACCAGAAATATGATGAGAAAGTAAAAGTTGGCTATTCTTCTGAATTGTTCAAATAAGTTCTTGGGTATGAAGTTCCAAAACGTGTACTGCGTGAAAGAAAAGCAACACTAGGCGTCGGGACGGTTGTGCCTTGTGCAGTGTCACTCCCACCACACGATAAGCAGCCCAGATTCAAAGTGCAAAACATTCAGTTTGGACACAAAACTCATAATTCAAAATCTGGTGGAGTTGTTCACCATTTATTAACTTGTTGACCCAAGAAGCTGCTAAAACAGGATGTGCTCTCCAACCTGCCCCGCACCTGCCCCGCGTTGCTGCCTGATTCCAGGGAATGCGGGGCAGGTTTGGAGAGCACATCCTGCAGTCTGAACTGCAGACCCGTTGGAGAGCRGTTCTACATGAAGACTCTCTCGGATGCCCATGGGCCACTCTCCCAGCCTCCCTTCCCTTGCTGCCTCCTGCACGCTGACCCAGCTGGGTGACCCAGGCTGGTGGTGGCAGGTGCACATGGCAGGGGGCCACGTCCATGAGGGCAGGTGAGGGCCCGTCCCTTCTTGGCAGGCGTAGGGGACCAGCAGATGGTTCCTGCCTCTGGTTTGCTCCGACCGTTCACTCAGCTCTTGTGCTGAGAGCAATACCTCAGATGCGGCAAAACTACAACAAGCACTGGGCTTGGGAACTTTCAAACTCGTATCTCCCCCGACTGCAAGCGGAGTCAGACCAGGAATTGAAAGGCCTGCACATCCTCGCTCACAGGGTCTTCAGGCGCTCTGCTACCACCTTCAGCTGAGAGCGCAGCATGGCCTCTGGAGCGGGACCTCTGACTGCCTCCAGCTGCAGCCAGCAAGCCAGCTCTGGCCATGTGACTGGCCGGCAGTGCGGCTGACGGTGCACCACCTGCTTCTCCTGCAGTCATGTGGCAAGGAGATCAACTAAGGAACTCTGCCCCGCACCAGCCAAGATGGACGCGAAACACCCGGAACTGGCCTGAAGTCTCAGCTGCTCTTGACCTGAAATGGATCCTGTCCCAGTGCCCACATGGCTGTCCCCAGAAGGCTCTGAGGCCTGAACCCTGGTCCACCAGGAGGGTGACCGACTCACGCGGAATGGAGACTTCTTTCATCTGTGATTGGGAATGGGGACATAAAGGGCAGAAAGTCCCCGTGGCTGGACGTGGCTGTGGGAGCTGCGGATCACCGTGAAGCACTGGAGGGCAGGCGCAGCAGAGGGCCTCGGRCTCTGCTGCCAAGCCTGAGTGTCTTCATGAGTACTTTGGGAGTAAGAAGTAACAGTGGCCTATTCTATTCTGCAGGCACCAGCAGAATTAAGTCATCACCCTTGTCGAGAATGCTCCACGGCCTGGGAAGAGTCATTTTAGAGYTTAAACGATAGGACAGACGTGGAAGTCACTTATGCAAATACAAGTCACTGAAACATCCCTGTGTCTACCAACGGACAGAGGTACCGATGGGCAGAGGTGCCCCCGCTTTCCAGTAATGCAAAGTGGCTCAGCGTTCCTCAAGGCCAGGGGTGGCAGTGCAGACGCAGCACTTGAACTCAAGCAGGGAATGCCGGCGTCTTGAGGCCTGAGGTGGACTGGGGCTCGAGGCGGCTATCACCCTCCTGAGTGCCGGTCTCCCCRGGGGTGCTGAGGCAGGACAGGCGGGGCGGCCATGACGGCGGCTGTTTGTTCTTTCCTCTTCTGCCAACGTGTTCCCCAAAGGAACAGAACCCGGACGCACCACGGGGCAGTGCTTCCCCAGCCCCATCTACCAACAGCGAACCTGCCAAGTGCTGTGTGGGGCACTTGAAAAGTCCTAGCCAGAAGTTTGCTTTTATGTCGAAACAAAATGTTCTCCCAAGAAGATACAGAGACGTCGCCACCCGCACTCTCCAAATCCAGACACTTGTGTGCCACAAAGTAAACAGCACCTTCCACACCCCGAGCTGTTACCCAGGAGGAGGCAATGACGACTGCTCAAGTGCTGCTCAAGAGTCCCCTGGGTTCCAGGGGGCCGATGCCGCCCAGCACCCCAGGGCACGCCCTCTGCGCCTTGCCTTCCCTCCTGGACCTGGTCACACAGGTGGCTGTGTGCACGCAGATTTCCCTTGAAACTTCCCGTCACCACCTTCGTGACCCTGAGATCAGGGTGCCCACCACCTCTTGTGAGGGTGAGGATGACTTGGTGGGCAGCTGCTGGCGAGCGCGCCCAGCTGAGACGGAAGCTGCTCAGGCTCTTCCGGACGGGCCGTGGACCACTCTTGACAAGTGTGTTGACTTAATTCTGCTTGTCCCTGCCTGAGAGCTTCTGGGCATGAAGGGCCCTGGTCCCGAATCCCCACCCAGCCTGGGTGTGGTTTCCCTCCTCTAAACCCAGGCCTGGCAGCTCTGGCTGGGCAGGGAGGGGGTAGGGCGTAGGGCCTCTGGGCACAGGAACATTTAAGAAGGAAAACACAGCAGAGTAGGCTAGCCCTGGCATACCTAGAGCACCAAGGGGCAGGGGTGGGGGCCACTGCTCGGCAGGTGGACAGCACAGCTCGGCTCTCCCGAATCCCAGGTGTGGGTCGCGAGGAGCCGGTGCTGGCAGCCCCCCGCAGCCTGCACAGAGCTTCCTGCCCTGAAGGACATGCTGGTGGCCGAGCTCTGTGCCTGGGGGAGAAGCCAGGCAGGGGAGCTGGTGGCCAGGGCCTGCGACACGTTCCACACAGGACGTGGCACTGACGGTGTGAGGTTCACAGTCTGCGCAGGGTCCCCACAAGTGCCACCAAGCTCTGCTTGGCACGTGTACTGCGGAGACACTGGTCTTAGGAAACATGCTCATGAGGGGTTCAAATTTCGGGCCTCCTGGGGGCTGGGGAAGCACACGTCAGTGTAGAAACCGTGCTCAGTGAGTGCTGGCAAGCGCGAGTCCTGAGTGAGGCCTGGTGCGCCTCAACGGAGCCCTCTCAGCTCACTCCTGCTTCTGGTATCGTGTCTGTGACCACAGAGGATGTCATTTGGTTGGGATTTTGCTTTTGAGCATTGTAGGCACCCCCGTCGTGTTTCTGGAGATTACAGCTACTATGATTCCTTGACGCTGCTGTTGCAGGTGGAATAAACCCATGGGAAGGGCTGCGAGGAGCTGGCCTTCCCTATCGTAAAGCATCGTTGACAAATGTGGGTGCCCACCCTGGATGTCATGTGGGCACCGAGCAGTCTGCGCAGGCTGATGCGTCAAGAAGTGGACGAAGCAGGTCTGGCTCTGGGCCCCAACCTCGGCACACCACACGCATGCTGGCCCCAGGAGGCCGCCTCAGCCCTCTGCCTCTAGATCAGAACCGTCTTCTCAGCCTGCTTCGAATCCACCCTGCAGTTCATTTCCTGGCACCCATGGAGGGAAWGACCCCCTCGGGCAGAGGTCCCTGTCCACACCTCTCTGCACACCAACACCTCATTGACGCACTCCTGCAGGACCCCAGCCCCACATTCCAGGGAGCCCTGGAGTGTGCTCCTTCCCAGGAAAACTACCGTGGTTTCTGCTCTACAATGGCAACTCTGGCCAAGGGTCTCTGGTGATGGCATGTGACCAGGTAGCACTCACAAGCCAAGTCCTAGACTTCAAACCTGCCTCTCCACCATGACTAAAGAGAAGACAGCACTGGTCTCCTCGGGTCTAACGCACTTGGGGTGGCTGGAGAAAAGGAGGTAAAGGGCCTCTGTGAAGCCCCTGTCCCTTGTCCTTGCTGCCTGTAGGGTGGCACAGGGCAGCGCAGCAAGAGCAGCCATGAGCTCAGAAAGCACCAAGCCTGCAGCCACGTCCCTGGTCAACTGTGGCCACGCGGGCCAGGGCCAGGGCCAGGGCCAGGGCTACCTTGGAGGAGACGATCCTGTTGTCAGGGTATCTCTGTGGAATGTAGGCCTCTGCTCCGGGAGGTGGCTCCTTGTGTCCCACGTAGATGGTCCTGCTGTCCACCCAGTTCTCCTCTCCTGCACACTGTGGGCAGAAGACAGGGTCCGTGAGCACCTGGGGATTGCCGCGCAAGTTCCTCCTGGGCCCATTTGTCTGAACCAAGAGGGTCCCACTGACCCAGAGGGCCGCAGGGAGGACCTGGCCCCACTCCAGCCTCAGCACTGCTCCCTGCCCCAGGATGAGGGCATCTGCTCCCCRGACAGTCCCCCGGGTGGCACCCAGGGTGCTCCCCGCGTGGCTGTGGGTGGAGAAGGCATGGGCTGAGTTTATGCGGGAACCTGACAACAACGTCTTAAGGTTTCAGGAAAGAAAGACACTTTCCAACAAAATCAGAACGCAAACCCTGACTCAGCCCTCAGTGTCACTCGACGAGGCTTTCCTGGGAAGAGAGGACATGGGCCTGACCGAGGCCAGATGCTGAGCACAACCCTCAGGGGCAGCAAGGAGCTCTGAGCACATCCTTCACGCCCAGTCCAGCCCGACCACAGCCAGAAAGCAGTGGGGACCTCGGCCACCAGGGGTTCTGCAGCCCTCACCGCTGGGCGCTCCTCCTCTCCTGCRGGAACTTCCAGACAGCAACCTACGCTGGGCCCAGCCAGTCCCATCCCTGAGGGCACAGGCACTGCACCAGAGGTGGGCAGAGGCAGGAGCAAAACACAGGCCACATGCCCCGCCCGGGGACACCTCCATCCCAGGCCCGCACCCTCCCTCGCCTGGCCTTCCTCCCTGCACCTGGCCTCGGACCCCAGGCCCTCCCACACCTGGCCGTCCGCCCTGCACCTGGCCGTCCTCCCTGCCCCTGGCCCTCCCTCGCCTGGACGTCCTCCCTGCACCTGGCCCTCCCTACACCTGGACGTCCTCCCTGCACCTGGCCCTCCCTCGCCTGGACGTCCTCCCTGCACCTGGCCCTCCCTCGCCT